TTTTTTTTTTAAAGTAATTTGATAAATAGGTATAGATTAATGTCTTTAATATTCCATAAACCACAAAACTGACTTGGTATTGTGTGAAATTAACATTGTCTGAGAAGGCCATTTCTGGGCCTGTATTTGCCTGATTTATACTTTTGAAGCAGCAAATTTACATTTTGGTATACTCATTTAGTCTCTTTTTGGTTGTTGTTGGTATAGGGACATGTGAACTGATTCATTATGGGTCTTAAAAAGCCTTGGTTTTTCAGGTGCGGGTTTGATCGAAAGGGTTAGAGTTTGAGTCTCCAACCACCACATGTTTCCTGTCCTGGTCATTTCTGCTGGGAGTCGTAGCACCTATAACACTTCTCGCTCTGAGCAGGGGATCAGGAAAAAAAGAGCACTTCCTATCTTTCGGGCTCATGCGAACAGCGGGCATGGAAAGTCCTCAAAGGGAACTCTTTGTGTTCGTCTGTTCTTTGCATAGCTTTTTAGCAATATAGGCAAGAGAAAAACAAAAAGGGATGGAGAAGAATTGTATCGTTTATTGTGCTACCATAAGTTCTTGTAATATTGCGAGATGCTGCTCTATCTAGACAGATAGATAGATTAATTTCTTTGATATTAAAGTACTTTTCACAAAGAATGCTACAAGTAAGCTACATTATTACAGTAAGTTGATTTGTGCGAAAAGTGTAGACATTAGATGTGTTCGAAATCACATACTGTATTACATTTGGTTTGAAACTTGCTTCGTGTGTATGTATGAATGCAATTTGTATGTATTACATCGCCATGGTTTCACTGTCATGTGACCTGCGGCATCAGTTAGGGTAAGTTAGGGGGAATGGTTAGAGAATGGCTTCAATCCCGAGGCCTCATGGGATAGCAAAGTGTCCATCGAATGTTCAATTCAGTTATCTGGGGAATTTTTTACCTACTGTTTTGTGAATACTGTGAATTCAGACATACTACTCATGTCACATACTGTTTTTTGCCAACTAAATAGTATGGACATAGACATATTTGAACACAGGGATTGTTTATTTGAGCTTAATTTTTTAGTTTGGGGTAGAATATTTGTTTATCCAAAACCACTGGAAGATGGGTGAAGAGTTTTGCAAACCAATTTCATTTGGTGACAGAAAAGGCAAAGAAATACACACTTCAGCTTTAAAAACATTCAAAATCTTCTTTTAAGGTTTCAAATTCTGACCTGACTCTGTGTAAGTTAAAAACATAAATTTTCTTCTCATTCTTTTTTGTTATTTTTAACCATGGTATAATAATTGAATACTCTATTGCCTACCACATCCCAGTGGTCCTGGCCAAGGTGTGCCAGTTCCTGCTCTGTCATCAGCGTTGGGTACTGGAAAAGAAAACATGGAAAAGCCATGGAAAAA